GGGGGTGATTTCTCGCTTTCCGTCTCTCTGTCTCTGTCTGTCGTGCGAGCGCACGCGCCCTATAGCAAAAACCTCTCCAAAATAAATAAATAAATACTCCTGTGTCTACAGTTTCCCAGAGTTCAAATATGCCTAAGGAGGCCCGCGGGTTGCTCAGTGGTTAAGATGCTGGATTCCCATATGGCTAACCACAGTTCGAGTCCCAGTCCTGGTGGCTTACTTTCTCACATTCCTTCTGTCTCTCTCTGGTGAGCACACTTGCCTTACAGCAAATTTAAAATAATAATAATAATTAATAAAGCTAAATAAATAATTCTTTTAAAAATATATATGCCTGGGGACCAGCAAGTGGTGTTGTAGTTATTGTGCTGGACACTCCCATACGGCTGACCACAGTTCGAGTCCTGGACCTGGCGGCTTCCTTTCTCCCTTCCCCCCCTCCGTGTCTCTCTCTGGTCAAATTAAAATAAATGATGAATGAATAAATAAAATTAAATTATATATATATAATTATATATATAATTTAGGCATATATATATATATATATATGCCTAAGAACATACAGTGTATTTTGGGGTGGCACATTGTGATCTCCCACAATCATATTTTTGGTGGTTTGTCTACATCCCAATAGTGAGCAATAGGGTTCCCATTTCATCTGGAACCCTTGTGCATGGCTGGTGGGAATGTAAAATGGTGGTATTACTGGAGAAAGTAATATGGCAACTCTTTAGAAACTTAAATATGGGACCAGCAGGTGGCATGGTGGTTAAGGGCCCTGGACTTCCACATGACTGACCGTGGTTTGAGTCCCAGACCTGGTGGCTTGCTTTCTCACTCTCTCTCATGCTATCACTCTCTGGTCAAGTTAAAATAAATAAATGGATAAATAAAGTTAAATAAAATAATTCTTTAAAAAAAAGGGGGGGGGGAGGGACACACATGCGACAAACAGAAGACTCCAGAGGACAAACATGCAACAAAAATTTAAAATTCTAAGATATTAAGTTAAGTGAAAGAAACTAAACACAAAAGGACAAATACTGAATGATTCTACTTATATGAAGTATAGGCTAGTCAAATTCCTAGAGAGGGGATGGTAGGTGGTGGTGGTTAAGGGTGCTGGACTCCCATATGGCCCACCATGGTTTAGGTTCCAGACCTGGCGACTTGCTTTCTCACTTTCTCTCTCTTTCACTCTGTACTTCTCTGGTCAAATTAAAATAGAGACATGAAATAAATAAATAATGTTAATATTTTTTAAAAAATTCCTAATTGTCTGCAGCTTGCGGAGGAGGAGAATTTTAGTTTGGGAAGACGAAAAATTCTGCAAATGATGATAAAGGTTCCAAAACAATATACTTAATGTCATAGACCAGTACACTCATACATCATTAAAATGATAACTTTTATGTGATGCATTTCCTTTTTTTTTTCATCATTAAAATGATAACTTTTATGTGATGCATATTGTAACACAATTTTTAAAAACAGAAATTTTTTTAAAGTTGGTTTTTAGTCGGTTCCTCGACCTAGCCAAGCCGGTAGTCTCTCACCTACCCTTTTTTTTTTTATCATCATATCTTCTTCATATTACATTGAATTACATATAACTTTACAGTGTATTAATACACTTGGACCACCACCACACCCCCACCCGCTTGCCTCACTCCTCCCCTTCTCTCCCCTCCCCCCATGCTTTGGTTCCCACTCTGCGGGGCCTCGCAAGTCTCACCGCGCAGGCGCAGAGTGGTGGGCAGGAGAGGGCGTGGCCTCATTCTGCGCCTGTGCCGAATTCCAGCTGTGACTGCTGCGGGGGAAAATGATGCCCAGGTTGGGCTCCCCGGCCAGCTGAGAAGAGGACTGCATTGCACATGCGCAGACAGAGCACCACGTCAAAAGGCCAGGAGAGCGCGCATTCCCCACGTCCTGAGCGCCCGGCTGTCAGGCATCAGTCCCAGCCTTGACTCCCGCCGGGCCAAGGCTGGCGCGCCCACGTGTGAAGAGCGATGCCCCGGGAGATCATCACCCTGCAGCTGGGCCAGTGCGGCAACCAGAGTGAGCAAGCGAGCCCTGGGCCCCGCCAGTCTCTGGTTCTGCCCCTTCGGGTCCCACCCAAAAGCCTGGCATCTATCAGTACCCCATTCCCTTCCATTAATCCCCTGCCCTACTGGGCCTGATGACCCAGAGCGAGAGCTGCGCCTCCAGCCCTGGGCTGTGACGGCTCCCAGACCCAGGCGTCTGGAGTGAATGTGCGCCTCTGAGCCTAACAGCGGACTTCTCAGGCTTCACGGCTCCAGCAGACCCGGGCGTCTCCCCCCCTCCCCCAGTTGGGTTCGAGTTCTGGAAACAACTGTGCGCCGAGCATGGTATCAGCCCCGAGGGCATCGTGGAGGAGTTCGCCACCGAAGGCACTGACCGCAAGGACGTCTTTTTCTATCAGGTGCCCCCAGCGACCCGGCCGGGCCGGCAGTGGCCTGGGACTGGGGAACCCGCTGGGCAGAGGGGCCAAGGCGGCTGGCTTGAGGAGGGAGGGCCTGCACGAGTCAGAGTGGGGAGGACTACAGACTCGGCCTGCCCTAGTGAGTGACGGCCGCCTCTGCCCTCCCCCGACAGGCAGATGATGCCCGTGCTGCTGGACCTGGAGCCCCGGGTGATCCACTGCATCCTCAACTCCCCCTATGCCAAGCTCTACAACCCCGAGAACATCTACCTGTCGGAGCACGGAGGAGGAGCTGGCAACAACTGGGCCTGCGGATTCTCTCAGGTGTCCAGGCACCATCGCAGAGACCTGTGATATTCCCACCCCAAGTCAAGGCAGGCTCAAGCAACCGGGAATTTCACCCGACCAGATTGACAATACCTAAGAAACTAAGGGATACCCTGGCCATAAGGACTGCCTGGGAAATAATTGTACAAATTTTGTGGGAATCCTTTACAAAGTAGCATTTCTGGGTGGGGGGGCCACTGCTGAGGCTGTGTTTCAGGGTGGCAACAATGTCCTAAGGTAGAGTTGTTGCTGAAAAGAGTTGTTCTCCAGAACCTTCCGCCTGACCCTCCCTTCCCATATTTCTATACAGGGTGAGAAAATCTATGAAGACATCTTTGACATCATAGACCGAGAAGCAGATGGAAGTGACAGTCTAGAGGTAGGTTCCTCCTCCCCCACCGGGGAAGTAGGGGGTGGGGGGCTAGGAGGTGGCCTGGATGTGTGATGTGATGGGGATAGTTCAATTCAAAACCTATTTATTATGCATGAGATGTGGGAAATTGAGGTAAACAAGATATAGTCGTGTTCTCCCGGAAGTCATAAGCTGGAAGATTCCTTAGTCATGAATTATTCAGCCTTTCCAGGGAGCGTCAGGCTGGATTGACACTGAATTGCTCTGAGACTTGCAGATTTTGGGAGTGGGGAATGAGACAAGCCTCGCTCCGATTCCGGGATACTACCTCTCCATCTCCCCCATGCTGATGTGATATTTGTAATTTCCTAAGCGACAAGAGCAGTTCAGAAAATCTTTTGTTAATATTTGCTCTTTTGTCCTTGGTTCCTGAAGTAGCTCCAAAGTGAGAAAGGTGAAAGACAATCTTTTGTTATTTATAATAAGCCCCTTTCAACCACACCTGAGTTTATGTTAATGAGGCGATTTTTGCAAAGTCTTTAACCACTGGCTGGGGGTTTTGGTTTCCAGGGAAACCAACAGCATGCTCTCAGGGTTGGACTTTGTAGCTCCAGCCCCACCTCCAGGGAGGGTGCAGGGGCTGAAAGTTAAATTGATCGCTAATGATGAATGATTTAATCAATCATGCCTACCTTATGAAGCTGGAAGTGTGAGGCACCCTACTCCGCAAGGACTGAGGCTCCTGTGCTCCAGACCCTTCTAGATCACGGCCTATATAGTTCTTCATTTGGCTGTTGTATCCTTGAAAATAGCCTTTAATTTTCTGGTAAACACATTTCTGAGTTACATGAGCTGCTCTAGCAAATTATTGAACCCAAAGAAGGGTCATGGGAACGCAATTTATGGCTAGCAATGAGAAGCACAGGTAAAACTTGGAGTTTTCAGGACCAGCAGATGGCTTAATAGTTACATTACTGTACTCTCACATAGTCGACCATGGTTCAAGTCCCAGATCCAGCGGCTTAAAACTCACCCGGCATGTGCACATGTGTTCCCAAAATCCAGAGAGTAGAATGGAGGAGGACGGATTGCAGCATGGCCATTCCCCTGAGGGGGTGATTTCTCGCTCTCCATCTTTCTCTCTCTGTCTCTCCAGCAAGTGCATGCGCCCTATGGCAAAAATCTCTCAAAACAGAAAAAAAACTTGGAGCTTTCAACTGGCTAAAAGTGGGGGGCAATCTTGTGAGACTGAGCCCTTGACTTACGGTCTCTGACTCTCCAGGTACAGATGCTCCTGGGCTTACAATGGGGTTATGTCCTGATAAACATGTCATAAAGTTGAACCATCGTAGACTGGGGACCATCTGTAGCTAGTGCCAGGATTGAGCTGAATAAGAGGATACCCCAGCTGGTGTCTGCTGTGGAATTAATTGCTTGGAGAAGAGCCCCCACTCATCTGTCAGAAGTGTCTGAGAGTACACTGGGAGAAACTGAGTTTGTGTATTCCTGTATGCACACAGGGCTTCGTGCTTTGTCACTCTATTGCTGGGGGGACAGGTTCTGGCCTGGGCTCCTACCTCCTGGAGCGACTAAATGACAGGTATGCTTGTGTTTGGGGAGGGGCCTTTAACCCTGTTCCCTGGATAAGACCTTTCCTTTTTGTCACTTTTTTCTTTTCTTTTAAGGTGTTGTTTTTTTTTTTTAAGAATTATTTTTAAAAAGAATTATTATTTAATTTTAATTATTACTATTTTAATTTGACTAGAGAGAGAGAGAGAGAGAGGGAAAGCAAGAAAGGAGATCCGGGATTCAAACCACATTTGGTCATGTGGGAGTCCACTGCATAAACCACCACACTATCTGCCAGTCCCCCCCTTTTTTTTTTCTCCTCCCCCACCTGCCAGTGTCTTTTTAAAGGTTTTTGCCATAGGGCAAGTCTCCTCCCTGGAGAGAGACAGAGAGAAGGAAAGCGAGAAATCACTTCCTGGGAGGATGGTCACACCGCATCCCTTGTTCTTTGTTCTGGGGTTTGGGGCATGCGTGCACATGCACCTTGTGTATTTCAAACCACCAGGTCCAAGTCTCGAACCGTGGTTGGCCATGTGGGAGTAGCACCTTAACTACTATGCAACCTGCTGGCTCCACCACTTTTTTCTCTTGAGCTGGAAGCTCCCCTTAGAGAAACAGGGATAGGAGGACATAATAGCCCTAGGGGTAGCAGGGGATGGGGGTTTACCTAGGAAGGGGAGTAGATCTATAAGATCTGATGTTTGGAGTTTATCCTTTCTGGCTCTGAAGACTTTATTCTGCCCTCACCCCTTTTGTACGAGAACTTGGTGGCACTTGTACAAAGTAATGGTCCTTACTTTGCCTAGAAAAGACACAGTTGGGTAGTGATTGGAATCCTTCCCTCACTGCCATTCTTCCCATTTCTGTCTTCCTCACCCTCAGGTACCCCAAGAAGCTGGTGCAGACATACTCAGTGTTTCCCTACCAGGACGAGATGAGCGACGTGGTGGTGCAGCCCTACAACTCACTGCTCACCCTCAAGAGGCTGACCCAGAACGCAGACTGCGTGGTGAGCAAAGGAAGGGGGAGGATGGCTGTGGTCTGCCTCCCCCAGCCCATGAGTCCCCTACGCCCTACCGTTCCCAAGCCCCTGCCCACACAGAACAGAGGCTATATCTGGGGGCCAAATGATGAAGTAAGGTCCTCACCTCTAAGCTGCTTACAGTCCTTGAAGGCAGCACAACTGCACAAAGTGATCATACCCCCACCACTGCCACGCACCCCACTTTGCCTACTTAATGCCTTATCATACATGAATTCATAGTCCAAGGGTCACTTCCTTAGCAAAGCCTTCCCTGAGTACCTAGTCCAGGTCAGATTCCTTTGTGCATATTTTGGGCTTTTTTTTTTTTTTTTTTGCTTAGATTTCTACCATAGGGCACATGTACTTGCCTATGAGAGAGAGAGAACATGAGAAGTCATCCCCCAGAGGTGGCCACAACACAATCCCTTCTCCATTCTTCTCTCTGGATTTTGAGCATGCACGTGTGTACACATGCCCAGCGTGATTTTCAAGCCAGTGGGTCCGGAACTCAATCCGCAGTTGGCCATGTCCATGTGGCCATGTCCAGCACCTTAACCACCATACCACCTACCTCGTCCCTATATTTCCAGCTATTAAGCATGCTTTTCTGTTGTTTTATACTTACTTTCTCTGTGGGCTGTGGGCCTGATGAGGGCGAGGCCCCATCGTGCCTGTCTTCCTCCCATGGTCTCTCTAGAGCCAGCTCAGTGTGTGGCACCTGGGAGAACCTACATATCTGTGTACTGCCCTCACAGTTCAGAAATGGCTCATGATACTGGAACAAGCAAATGGTGGGATGGTTATGTTGCTGGACTCCCATGTCGTCGACTGTGGTTCAAGTCTCAGACTAAGCAGCTTCAAACTCATGTTGGGCGCTTGTACATGCATGCCCAAAATCCCCAGAGGAGACTGGAGAAGAAGGGATTGCGGTGTGGCCATCGCCCCTGGGAGGTGACTTCTGGCTTTCTATCCCTCTGTGTCTCTCCAGCGAGCACATGTGCCCTATAGTAAAAACCTCTCTCTCTCAAAAAAAGCAAGTCTCATGATGCCACAGAGATAGTACTTTCCTTTAAAATATATATATTGTTTTATTTGGGGCCAGCAGGTGGCATGGTGTAAGGTGCTGAACACTCCCACATGGCTGACCACGGTTCAAGTCCTGGACCTGGTGGCTTGCTTTCTCACTTTCCTTCTCTCCCTCTCTAGGGTCAAATTAAATTAAACAAATAAGTAAAAAAATAAATAACTTTTAAAAAGAATTATTTAACTTTCTTTTATTTTTTTAATAATTACTTTATTTAATTTTATTTATTTATTCATTTATTCTTAATTTGAGCAGAGAAAGACACAGAGAAAGAGAAAGGGAAACTGAGAAAGCAAGCCACCAGGTCCAGGACTCGAACCATGATTGGCCATGTGGGAATGTCCAGCACCTTAGCCACCACACCACTTGTTGGTCCCACTTTCTTTTATTTCTTTATTTTTAATTTTGACCAGAGAGGGACAGGGTAAGGGGGTGGGGGAAATGAGGAAGCAAGTTGCCAGGTGTAGGACTTGAACCATGGTCAGCCATGTGGGAATCCAGTACCCTTAACCACCATATCACCTACCGGCCCCCAGTAATTTGTTTTTAAATGAGCAAATTTACTTTCCTGTTTTGGAGTTTAGCTAATATTTCATTTCTGTGTCCCTTTTCTTCTCAAAAAGGTGCTATGACCCTCTTCTGTCCCCCAGGTTGTGCTGGACAACACAGCCCTCAACCGGATCGCCACGGACCGCCTGCACATCCAGAACCCATCCTTCTCCCAGATCAACCAGCTGGTGAGCCCTCACTCCTGGACTCCTTAGGACTAAAACCCTCCCTGCTGGAGGGCCACCTGGGGAAGGGAGGTCCCATGTAGGCCGAGACCCACGACCTGGCACCCCGTCCCCAGGTGTCCACCATCATGTCAGCCAGCACCACCACCCTGCGCTACCCCGGCTACATGAACAACGACCTCATCGGCCTGATCGCCTCGCTCATCCCCACACCGCGCCTCCACTTCCTCATGACCGGCTACACCCCCCTCACCACGGACCAGTCAGTAAGAGCAACCCTCGGTGTCCCAGCAGGCCATCAGTGTCCCAGCCACGCTGTCCTGGCCTTTCTTGTCTCCCTTCTGCCCAAGAGCTCCCCTCCGCGGCCTCCAGGGACTCCCTGACTGATTGCACCTTTTCTTATTGACTTGTGCCCATCTTCCCTCTGCCTTTGCCTCCAGGGGAGCTGGGCTATTTGGGCCCATTTTTGCTCCTGCACAGGGACATGAGTTTGCTGAGCTGAGGGGAATTAAGATCCTGACCCTCAACAGAGACCCAGTGTAGACCTAAATCTAAAAGATATTTCCCAAAGAGACCATGCTGCCCTGAGGCAGATAGGGACATGTGTTGACCATTCTTGTCTGTGCATCTCTGGGCTGTGCCATGCGTGTTAGCCTGGTCCCTGTGACCTGCTGTCCCATCAGGTGGCCAGCGTGAGGAAGACTACGGTCTTGGATGTCATGAGGCGGCTGCTACAGCCCAAGAACGTGATGGTGTCCACAGGCCGGGACCGCCAGACCAACCACTGCTACATCGCCATTCTCAACATCATCCAGGGGGAGGTGGACCCCACCCAGGTAGGTGAGGCCCCTTGGTTCAGCCCCTGAACCCACAGGGGAGATGAGAGGCTACCACCACCACTCCTGTGCCCACCCAGGTCCACAAGAGCCTGCAGCGGATCCGGGAACGGAAGCTGGGCAACTTCATCCCCTGGGGCCCGGCCAGTATCCAGGTGGCCCTGTCAAGGAAGTCTCCCTACCTGCCCTCGGCCCACCGGGTCAGCGGGCTCATGATGGCCAACCACACCAGCATCTCCTCGGTGCGTGTCATCTCCTGGTCTTCGGCCACTCTGCTCTAGTAGCCTTCTTCGTCAGTTTCCCCAGTTCATTCCTAACATCCTAACCTCCCTTCCTTCCACTGGTTCCCATTTTGGAGATTTCCATCTCTTTCAGCTCTTCGAAAGTACCTGCCAGCAGTACGACAAGCTGCGGAAGCGGGGTGCCTTCCTGGAGCAGTTCCGCAAGGAGGACATGTTCAAGGACAACTTTGATGAGCTGGACAGGTCCAGGGAGGTTGTTCAGGAGCTCATTGATGAGTACCATGCGGCCACTCGTCCGGACTACATCTCCTGGGGCACCCAGGAGCAGTGACTTCTCTCCCCACTATTCCTCCTGGACAGTAAGCGCCGCGCCCACCATGCCTGATCTCTGTGACCCAACTTCGCCTCACCGCTATCCCTTCTAGTCATCTGCTCAGGAGCTGGCCTTATTCCTCTTCCATGCCCTGACTCCTGACACGATCATGCCACTCTGATAAAGGAATAAAGCTTGGTTGTGAATGTAGTCGGAGCTTCATGAGTAACGGGGCAGGGGGAAGGGATCTCCAGTTTCTAGGCATGTGATGGCAGAGTGGCTTCCACCTGCTCTAACTTCTCACCACTTAGTCCAAGTTTTAGTCCATTGGCATCCCTCACCTTCAGCCAGCCTGTTGTGCTGAAATCAGCCCAAAATAACAGGACTACTGAGGTCTGCTTTCTCGTCCCTAACCTCCTTCCCTAGGGCGGGCCAGCATTGCCCCAGCCTCCTCCACTCAGGGCAATGTGAGAGTCTATTGAAGGGAGGGCCCACTGCATTCTGAGCAGGTCATGAAAGCTGGAACTCTGGATTTGTGGAGCCAGGACCATCAGAGTCCCAGGGACCTAACCCAGCGTGTTGAACAGAAGCAGATTTCCAGAGTAGGGCTCAGCCCATCCTGAGTCCTTTTTCTGTACTGGAGATCTTGCCCCAGACTTCATTACAGGCCCAAAGCAGTAGGCACACCAAGGAAAAACCCAACCAGAGCCCACGGGTTGGATACCAGGATAGGAACTGGGCTGTGTCAGTCCTGATGACTTATTGCCCTCCAGTCTCAGGGACATCAGGAGGCCACCCCTATGTCTTTCAAGGGAGAAGGAAGGGTAATTGCCAGGCTTTCAGAACTGCTTTTTTTTGTCTGCTCCAAAGCCACTGTGGCAGCATACTTGTCAGGAGGGGGTTAAATCCAGAAGGGCAAGGAGGGTGGAGCTCTGTGGTGTCCAGACTCCCCTCAGCTCCTGGTAAGAGCCCAGAGTGTGGGCGTCCCCAGGGGCGGAGCTCTGGGCTATGGGGCTCCAACTTGTCCCACTGACAACACTCTCACAGGAAGGGTTTGTGTAAATAAGGATTTTTTTTTCTCTTCTACAAATAAATTAAGAAACAAACTAGAAAATTGTCCATACCCATTGCAGCCTTTGGGTGTGGGGTGTGCCCTGTCCCTGCAGGGCCAAAAGGGTCCATGGTTCCCTCAAATCTCAAAGCAGTCCTGGCCCAGGCTGGAGGCAGGAGGGAGGTCATGACCTCTTGGCAGGCTCAGTCCTGCAGCTGCCCCAAACAGCCAGACTGTCCCTGGGGCTCGTCCAGGCCCGGGTGCTGGCTGGGAGGGGAGGTGTCTGGCAAGTCTTGGCATGGAGAAGGGCTGCTGCAGGGCCTCTCGGGGGAGGGGTTGGCCAAGTAGGCATTCACCAGCTGCATGATCTCTTCCACCTAAGAGAGAGCAGAGGTCAGTGTGCAACAGGGGCCACTGTGTTCTCTTCTTTCTTTCATCCTCCCTCTAGGCTCTCAGGCTCCAGCTTCCCTGCCAGGGTCCTACACGCTCTGGCCCCTGCAACCTTTCCTTCCTCATCATCGCTCTCCCTGGCTCAGTCGGCATCGGTCACACTTGATTCTCTCTGCTCCTCTAACACGCCCAGTTTACTCTCACCTTTGGGCCTTCACACTTGAAACTCTTTCTATCAGGAATGCTGTTTCCCCAGATCATCCTGTGGGCTAGCACAAAAGCCATTGTCCTTTTCTAAAGAGAGATTTTGGCAGGACCAGCACTTGGCGTAATGGCTATGTGGCTGAACTCCCATGTAGTCAACCTCGGTTCAAGTCCTGGATCTGGTGGCTTAAACTCACGCCAGGCGTGTGTGTGTGCGTGCCCAAGATCCCAAGAGGAGAATGGAGGAGAAGGGACTGCCGTTGCCATCCCCCCTGAGGGGTGATTTCTTGCTTTCTGTTTCTCTGTCTCTCTCTGTCTTTCTGGTGAGTGTATGCGCCCTGTAGCAAAAACCTCAAAAAAAAATTTTTTTTTGGCTATAGGGAGTGTGCACTAGCTGGAGGGACAAAGAGAGACAGAGACAGAAAGCAAATCAACCCCAGGGGGGATGGCCACATGGCAATCCCTTTTCCTCTATTCTCCACTCAGGATCTTGGGCACACATGTACATGTGCCCGGTGTGAGTTTAAGCCGCTGCGGGGTTGGGACCCGAATCCTGGTCAACTATGTGGGAGTCCGATGTAACCATTACATCTGCTGGACCCTAGGCCATTGTCTTAAATAATCCTTCCCTGACTACCTAATGCTATGGCCCTCCAGCCACTTCCTGTCACGTTACTTCCTTTTGGCATTTATCACCTTCTTGAATAGTCTTGGATTCCTTGTTGGTTGCCCACTGCCCTCACTGCAATATAAAAGCCCTTGAACTTGTCTTTGATCATAGCTGTACCTGACTTAGTTCAAAAATGCTTCTTGACATCCCTACCCTTTCTGCCTCCTTCCACAACCTTTCTTCCCACTCACCTGGGGACTCTGCAGGAGAAGTTGGCTCCCTCCCACCCTCAATGCCAGGGTGTGGGGCCCCATTAGCTGGCAGGCGGCCACATGGCCATAGCTGACACTGTGGATGGGCTCTGTCTCACCGGGCCTGGAGAGGGACATGGCCTTGGCTCCCAGGCCCAGGCATAGCTTCTGTGGAGCACCCCCACCAGGTTCCTGCAGACACACAGGCAGGCAGGGTTAGGGTGGAAGTGGGGGACCCCGGAGCATTATTTTTGGGAGGGGAGATGGCTGTGAGCTGGGAGTTTCCTAGTCACCTATGTTTCACAGCATGGTGGAGGGGGCTGTGTCTCCAGGGAGGTGAGGGCCCACGGGTTGGAACTCTTAGGGTTTGAGATGGACTAGCCCTTGTGAATGTAAGGAATGAAGTGACCCACAATAGGGGCGTCTGACTCTGGGGCAAAAGTGTAGGGCTTTGGGCCACCAGAGTCCCCATCTCCCTTCTCCCCCTCACCGTGCTCAGCTCCAGAACGTCATACCGAGCAGCGCCGAAACCCGGACACTG